GGGATGGACGTGGGCTTTTGGGAGACCTGGGGATGCACTGGAGGATCAGAAGTGCTCTAGGGATGGACGTGGGCTTTTGGGAGACCTGGGGATGCTCTGGAGGATCAGAAGTGCTCTAGGGATGGACATTGGCTTTTGGGAGACCTGGGGATGCTCTGGAGGATCAGAAGTGCTCTAGGGATGGATGTGGGCTTTTCGGGGACCTGGGGATGCTCTGGTGGACCTGATGCACTCTTGGGGTGAACATGAGCTTCTGGGTGACCCAGGGGTGCTCTGGAGGATTGCAAGTGCTCTAGAGATGGAGGCCCAGGGTCATTTGGAGGATGAGAAGCCCTCTTGGGATGGATGGGAGTTTTCAGGGCACCGAGTGCGCTCTGGTGGGTCTGCCGCACTCTTGCAGTGGACGCGAGCTCTCGGGTAACTCGAGTGTGCTCGCAGGGGTGACCGTGTCCCAGGCGGTCACCTCTCCCTCCTCCGCTTCTCGCAGGTGGCCGAGCAGCTGATGACCATCGCCTACGAGAGCGGCGTGAACCTGTTCGACACGGCCGAGGTCTACGCGGCTGGCAAGTGAGCGCCCACTCCCGCGCCGCCGGCTCCGCGCTGCCTCGCGCTCCCAATCACGGTCCCATCCCGCTCCGTGCCCTTCCGTGGTTCTACGAGCTGCATCCTCGCCAGGCGCCCCGTGCTCGGGGTGTATGTGCACCCTGGGGACCACGAGCAGGACATGGGGTGGGATGTCCCCTCGGCACCCCCAGCGAGCCGGCCGCGGGGAACCGCGAGCACTCAGCCCATTCTCTTCCTTCTCTCCCCTTCGGCAGGGCGGAGGTGATCCTGGGAAACATCCTCAGGAAGAAGGGCTGGAGGTAGGACCCGCGGCGCTGAACAGCACTGCGGGAGCAGGAGCTTCACTCAGCCGTGTGGGTACCGGACCGCAGCATCCCGGGTTCTCCTGGGAGCAATAACCCTTCTCCTTTCCTGTCCGCAGGAGGTCCAGTCTGGTCATCACAACCAAACTCTACTGGGGTGGAAAGTAAGTTTGCTCTCCAGGACATCTCGGGGGTATCGAGTTTGGCTTTAAAGCAGCACATCCTTCTCGGATGCGGGGTTTGTTTGCCCTCCCCCAGGACAAAATAGTAGCACTGAATTTTTTCAAATCTACCCGAATATCTGTGCAGAAAAACAAGTGAAATAGCTGGTGAGCTCATTCTGTGAGCTCCTCATCTGGAATCGGGGGCAAACAAATTAAATGATAAAGTGGTATTTCCCCCATTTCTCTGAAATTATTCCCGCTGTTGGGTGCGGGGCCGCTTTCCACCTCTCCAGCGGGGGAATGTGCCACGCGACGCTCGTGCAAGTGCGCATGGTGCAAGCGCGTGCCCGCCTGCGGGACGGCGCCCAGCTCCTCGTTCCGGGCGCAGGGCGGCTGGGCACACCCTCACCAACCTGCCCTTGTCCCCTTCGCCAGGGCCGAGACGGAGAGGGGCCTTTCCCGCAAGCACATCATCGAAGGTACGTGTCTCCCCTCCGCTCGCGGGTGCATGCAGCGCACTCGGCACGAGCGCCACTTTGCACCCGGTGCAAGGAAATGCAATAATGGCACGCGCTGATTTTCTTGCCCCATGCATGCCGGAGATGATTAGGTGATTTATCCGTCAAACCCTGTCGCTCGGGGTGCTGCTGTTGGCAGCACCGCTCTGCGGGGCTCACTGGGAGGGAGCCCGGCGCCCTGGAGCCTCCGGCTCTGCCGGTGTCCGTTGCATTTCCAGAAAATAAAAAGCATCGCTGGCAGCGGGTGGCATCACGTCACAGGCAGCGTAGGAAATAATGCAAATGTCGCCGCTCGCTGTTTTCCATAGAAACCTCCCAAACATTTCCATAGAAACACTTAGCAAAAGCGCCCAGCTTTTCAGCCCCAAAGCTTGTGAGTGCTTCAGGCTGCTCCCTTTGGGCACGTTCCCCGCGATGCTGAGCCCGGCACCGAGGGTGTGCGCTGGAGGGGCGCTGCGGGGCCCCACCGAGCTCCTCTGGGGCGCGGGGGCACCCACGGCCGGCGCTGGGGCTGGTTTCGGGTGGGTTTTCCTCTCCCCTCCGCTTGCAGGGCTGAAGGCTTCGCTGCAGCGGCTGCAGCTGGAGTACGTGGACGTGGTGTTCGCCAACCGCCCCGACGCCAACACCCCCATGGAAGGTGAGCGGCCGCACGCCGAGCTCTGACACGCTCGGGCTTTTTGCCTTTGTTTCACTTCTCCTTTCTCCTTTAGAAATCGTGCGCGCGATGACACACGTGATTAACCAGGGCATGGCCATGTACTGGGGGACGTCGCGCTGGAGCGCCATGGAGATCATGGTGAGCAGGACACGCCGTTTTCCCCCCGTTTTCCCTCATTCCCCCGTGTTTTCTGCGTGGGGCTGGTGCCTGCCCTGGGGCCCACAGCGCGCGCGTCCCACTGGGTCCCACAGGAAGCCTACTCGGTGGCCAGGCAGTTCAACATGATCCCGCCGGTGTGCGAGCAGGCCGAGTACCACCTCTTCCAGCGCGAGAAGGTGGAGGTGCAGCTGCCCGAGCTCTACCACAAGATCGGTACGGCCGGCGCGCGATGTCGCGCGCGGGGGCGAGCGGGGCCGCCCGCATCCCTAACCCACCGTCCCGCGCGCAGGCGTCGGAGCCATGACGTGGTCCCCGCTGGCCTGCGGCATCATCTCAGGGAAATACGGGAACGGGGTCCCCGAGAGCTCCAGGGCTGCGCTCAAGGTGGGTCCTGCCCGGCCGCGGAGGAGCCGCGGGATGCGGGCGGATCGATGATGGATGGATGGATGGATGGATGGATGGATGGATGGATGGATGGATGAGTCCGCTCCAGCTCCGCCACCACCTGGAGCAGGATCACCTCTTGGAGAAGCACCATTTCTCCCTTTCATAGCTGCTTCAGGCAGCCAGTCCTGATTTCCTCAGGCTCTATTAGCTCCCAGGGTGATCTTTTTGAAGAGATGGTCATAACTGCCCCAAGGCTTCCCCTTGGGAAGACCAAAGCTGACGGCTGCTTGTGCCGCGGTTGCTCCCAGTGCTACCAGTGGCTGAAGGAGAAGATCGTGAGCGAGGAGGGCCGGAAGCAGCAGGGCAAGCTGAAGGACCTGTCGCCCATCGCGGAGCGTCTCGGCTGCACTCTACCTCAGCTCGCCGTGGGTGAGCGGCGGCGCAAGGGGACCGGTGGCACCGGGAAGGGGCCGCGCTCCCCGGGAAGGGGTTGGCTGGGAGGACATCCATGTGCGAGCAGCGCCGCGTCCCCGGCACGCGGCACGGAGGAGGTGGGAGCAGGGGGGACAGTCCAGCCTCCACACGGAGGGGAAGATTCCCAGCGCGCAGGAAGGGCATGTTCCAAAGGGGAGAGGGCAATACGGCCGTGGAACAGCCTTATCCCCTTTGATGGGGCCAGGAGGGGCTCAGGCGGCCTGGAAAATACAACAGCTTCTAAAAACGCTCTAATTTTCCAATAGAGATAGTGTTTTTGACAAACATTATGAAAAGCATTCCTGTGTGGCCATAGGAATTATTAGAAATAGAAATAGAAATTGCAAGCTGTGGGCCTCAGGAAGGCGTGCGAGCCGCAGGCGGCGGCACCTGCTCTGCCCTGCCGCGGGCGGCCCTTCTAGGGGCCGCAGAGGCCGGCTCCGAGGCCGGGAACGGGAGCTGTGCCCTCGCTCGCAGCATTCCCAGCTCCGGTGGGTTTGCGCGTCCCGCGGGCCGCGTCCCTCACCGGGCTGCCCCTCTCCCCCAGCCTGGTGCCTGCGCAACGAGGGCGTCAGCTCCGTCCTCCTGGGATCCTCCAACCCCGAGCAGCTCATCGAGAACCTGGGCGCCATCCAGGCAAGTCCAGCACGGCTCCGGCTTTGGACTTCAGTCCGAGCTCACTTTGGACTTGTAAAAACCTGTGGCTCTAACAGCAGCTTAACGAATGTGGGCTTTCCTCTGCTGCCAGGTCCTTCCAAAGATGACATCGCACATCGTGAACGAGATGGACAACATCCTGGGAAACAAGCCCTACGGCAAGAAGGACTACAGATCCTGAAGCAGCGCATGACGCGCCGGCCCGCACGGTTCGAGCAGCGCGGAGCCCCCGGCAGCCCCGCGCCGGGCCACGGCACCCACGGGCAGCGGCGGCGCCGGCACTTCCAAGCACAGCCGATCTCTCTTACCACCGAGAACGGTCTCCTGTTTTCTTACCTTCGACTGAAACCATTCGTTTTGACTTTCCTCTTAGCACCTCATGCTTGTGCTGTGAAAAAACATATGTAAAGCAAAAAAAAAAAAAAAAAAAAGAAAAAAGATTTATAACCTTTAGGTACTTGGTAATTAAAGAAGGATGTACAGATATATTTTTTCAATTAACAAAGCCAGATGCAACTTAAGGTTTTAATATATCCACATTTGGGGCATGTCAGCTATAAAGTTTCTTTGGTTAGATTAACAGAGAGAATGGGCATGTTCAGATTTTCCATTTGCTTTTTTTTATGCTGAATACAGGCTTTAGACTTAGGTTGTAATTGAATAGAGGACTTAGGGCAGACAATTAGTTAGAAACCCTATAGCTCAGCTCCTACCCATACCAGCAATCCCAGCTGTGGAGATATTGCTCTGGACAAGTATTTCCGAGGACAGGCTGGAATTGCAGAGTGAGGACTCCAAGGGGAATGTCAGGATAAGGCAAACAGCTGCTGGTTGGGGAATTCTAGTTCTATATAGGCTTTAAATCAACAAACCCTTGATAAAACTGTAGGTTTTTTTCAATTTGCAGGAATCTGCCTCTACTTTTGCCTGCTTGTAGACATAGCTATTGCAGCTTTAACTATTCATGAGCTTTTAAGGGTATAGATACTTTTAAATGTATATAATATAAAGCTGCTGAAAAATTACAGAAAAATCAGGTATGTTTTTTCGTGGAGGGCTACCTGTGCTTTAACTTGATCTAGAATCGGGCACAAGTAAATGCATAGTATTTTTAAGATACATTTTCAACCAGTAGGGTTTTACTGTGAGCATTTCATCCCTCTAAGGAGTTGATGGTCAGCATTAATTTGCCCATTTTCGAGAACTGTGTTATATTTTTACCATGAGTTTGCTTTGTAAAACGCATCTAGGATTTCATTAAATATTTCACACCTGTATTGAATAATCATACTTCCTAAAGGCTGCAATTCTGTACAGTATTTGTAGGATCCTTGTATTCTATTTCCCTTGACTTCATGGTATCTGCAAAGTGTGTACAGCACCTCTGTGCTGCGCGGGCAGATATTAATCCTTATATATATATTTTTTCTTCTGTATTTAATTCAATGAGCTATGGTATGTGTAAATGAGCTTAGCTGCTGTATATCAGGAACTACAATCTGACTTTGACTTCTGCTTGGACTAAATAAAAGCATTTTGTGCATCTAATTTTATACTTGGAGACATATGCTGTTTATAAAAAGGAAACCTGCGCACGAGTTACAAGGTATGGTGTCATCGTAATGTAAATTATGCTGAAAACGAATTAAGATTCCACTGCAAAACTTTAATCTCTACCTGCACCCATTTAGGACAAGGGAAAAGGACACGTGGCCACGACGTGGGGCTCAGCCGGTGAGAGAGGGTCTCGCTTTGCCATGGGCTGCGCCTCTCAGAGAAGGTACTTTTAAAGCTAGCCTAAGGCTGATGCCAATCACAAAATCTATTTTTGTCCAAAATTAACATAACGGGAACATCTGCAGTACTTACTGTGTATTTCCTAGATGAAAATTTACTATTTAACTATTAAAAAGGATCTTCTTCATGCGCAGCACTGGGCTTTGACTTTATACACTTACCAAGTCAATTATTTTCCCAGTAACAGCCTTGCTCCTTTTTTCCCCTCCGGGGATACAACCTAGTGCTCTCTTTTTCTCATCTACATGGGAATCCAACAGTTCGTTATTACAAATTATATTAATCCCTCCCCCCTTTTTTATTAAAAAGTTGATGACATTGTCTCTTACTTGGAGCACAGGCTACCAGTGCGCTTGCTTGCGGGCTCAGAGGAGAACGGGCTGCTAAGCGGTCCCCAAGCTTTAGGTGAACCCTCAGCATCCTACACGTGAAGCTGGTTGCGTTACAAAAATCACACTTTTCATGAAGAAACCCACAGAACAGGCTTGCCTTTTTTTAAAAAAAAACTTTTTAAACAGTTTTTATTTCAGGCTGTCAATTCTGCAACATTTTCTCTCCCAAAAAATCTGGCACGTAATATGCTCTAAGCTCAGTAACTGCCAATATGGAAAAAAAAATAAGGTAAGATGAAAAGCCGTTAATAGAAGACTTAGTGAACTGACAGTAATAGCAGAAGAAAGGGCTGCTTCAATTTACTTTTCTCTAGATGGCAGATTTCTTGAAAAATACCTGCAGCTAGTCTCCATCTCTGCAAATACTGACAAGTTAAATGAGCATCAGCACTGCCTATTTACATGTCGGAATTTTACTGTACAGTTTTGGTAGAAGGTACGAGGGGGAAAATTAAAAGCAAAAACAGCAAAATAACAACCTTTAAGTCTAATTGCTTACAGAATATTGGTCTTGGCATTACCTTTGATGAGTTTATAAAATTGTATTAGAAATTCTTTTATACACGCTAAAAACTCGTATTTAGTGTCATATTTAAGCTTACACAGTCCTCTATACAGCTAACTTCTGTAGTAATTAGTTTTCTATTGAGGACTTTAAAAGTTGTTAGAATATACATGTACATATAAGTGTGAATATATATTAAAAAATAATAACCTGACAGGTCAACAGCAATACAATTATGCATGGTAAGCAGCAGTAATATGGAAAATATTCCCTTAATAGCTAATAAGCAGGAGCAATAAAGATAAATTCTATATTGAGGGAAAATATCCAAGATAATTTGATAATTTGAAGTGTAAAATAACTGAACAGAACAGTTAAGTTTCTCTGGCAGCTCTAAAGTGTACCCAAACCCATGGAATTTTTAAGATGTAAACAAATCAATAGTATTACATTTGCTGGGAAGCAAATTAAAGCAAATTACATAATGTCATTAAGATCGAAGGAAAAAAAAAAATCTCAACCTGAAAAGATGCTGAAGAGAGAGAAATATGCCCAGGAAATGGGTAGCACAGGTACTATATTTTGTCGCTGTGGCCGTATTTGTCAGAATTAGCAGGCTGCTGACTGTACTTTAGGATTAGCATCAAGAAGAGCGGAAAATTCTTGATCAGGCTTTGACAAACGCTGACAACTACAGGCATTTCATGCCTCAAGCAGGTGGTGGTTACTCTTCTGCCCTCAGCAATGGCTTAGAAAGAAAATTCTTTTTAATAGCATTACCAAAACAGAACACTTGATATAGATACTGACACTTCAAAAGGAGCATCAGAAATAACTGCTGTCTTTCCTGCTGTGGTTTCCAAATCACTGGAATCTGGCCCTCAGTCGTGCCTCTAGTGCGCTAGCCCTAGGACACAGCAGGGACACAAGTCAGAAATGTTGTTTCAACTTGTTATGGGAAAATTTACAAGCTCAGCACACTTGAGGCCAAGACAGATGGATCTCCAGGGCAGAGACTGCAGCCCGCTGAAGTCCTGTTTTACTATTTTTGCAAAAAGATGAATATTAAAAAGATCAGCATAATAATTCTTACTTTAGCTCTGATTATAGACTCATTCTTCTTTAGGATACCAACTCTGTAAGCAATAACTTTTATAATACAATTATAGTAATAGAATTTATCATTTAACAAGTGTATTATCTGCTTCACTGATAGCATGAGAAAAACAGAAGAATTGAGTGATAAATGTGTTTAAACAAAAAAGCAGCTAAAGTGATTTTCCTATTAGTTAGGCTGTGCCGGAAAATCTGCATGTTTTTCCTGATTTAAGACTTCAGAGATGAAGGCAGATTTTTTTTGGAAACCAATTCCAAACCACCTCCCTAGGACACTGTTCAGGTTCTGTCCATAGGTCAAAGTTGTTCAAGAATAAGGAGTCTTTCCAGGAAAATAGTACATAGTGACTTCAGAGGACTCGTCTCAGTTAACAAGCTCTGAAACACTCTCTGCCCATGCAAACCCCCTTTTTCAGCAATTCAGAATGGAAACACAAAGAACTAACGAACAGAAAAGCCTCCTTTTTATTAAAACTTTCCATGTTACAATGATAAATGGCAGATTGTCACTTTTTAGGATCAGGGAGTCCGGCTCTTGTAGCAGTCACCAAATTGTGTTAACGATTTTGAGGGCAGCTTTCTGTGCCATCGTCTGCCTGGTACCTGCAGTACAAACGTACCCACGAAGCGCTTCAGAAAAGGTATGTTCAGTAACTGCTCACATGCCATCTTCCCTGTTTGCTAAGTAACAAACTTACTCATCCAATTACTGAATAATGGCTTGTAAAGATACCAAAAAGTAAATATAATTCACTCATTTTCCTTTTAAATCCCACCCCAAACCTTCAAGAAGTCATGCCATAAAAAAGCAGTCCTCTTCCACCCTTAAATGTTTGTAAGAAAATTGAACTCCCCACAGAAATAACCCCCTGCTTTGTGTTGTCTACTTGGATCCTGTAGATAGCAGGGCAATCAGGCCAGATGAAGCACTTATAGAAAGAATATAGTTCCTGGAAGGAAAAGGTTAAGGATATAAACTTTTAAGGTACCACTGCCATCCTTTGTCGCACAAAACCTTTAGCAGAGGATGTCTGGATGAAAAAAAAAACCCAAGATTGAAACTGTTTTTCTCTATGGGATCTATCCTAGGGGATGCTGAATTTACAAGTGTATTTTAAAACCAGCACACCTACAAAGGCTAGTCTGTTCATTTAAAATGAATTATAAGTACTGTTAAATACAGATCATTCATTAACACATGCAGCTCTTATTAGCAGTATTTGTTTACTTACACAAAAGAAATAATTGTACCTCTGAACCTCCTGAAACTTGACAATTCTGTAATGTAAGAGCATCTGGCAACTAACATGAACGCAGCGTTTCTCTGTGGCTGTGGACTGCTTCCTCACTGCACAAATAATTACATTTGAAATGGCAGCACCACAGCAGTTTCTGTAAATTGTCCAGGTGATACCTTTAAAACACCTACTGCCAGATGATAAATCCTTTATGTGATTTGGAGACTTATGGGGATATTCTTCATTTTGTAGGCACTACAAAATACTGGTGATTTTGTATTTTTTTGAAGAGGCACTACAAAGACCTGCATATATCTAAAGAATAATCTCACAATTCAGACTGCAAACATAACTACCAAAAAAAAAATTTTTAGTTTTTCTAATTTACACTAGTAAAGGATACACAGTTGGGTTGAAGTTCTTCAACACAAAGAATGAAGCAATGATGACCAAGACCAGAAAGAGGGTGTTGTTGTAAAAGATGGAAAAAGTTGTTGCTTCATAATCTGCCACTTCATTTTTCTTCCACAGAATTCTGTATAGAAGTAGAGATATTATTCCACACATTTCTAACTGAATGTATACCATGATGCACGCAGCATTATGAATAGACTGAAACTAATAAAATGTAGGAAAACCCTGGACTAGTGTGCCTTTAGAAAAGGAACTTCTGCTATTTCCAGAGACTGCTGTGGTGTTCACTCTTCAGACAGTCCTGAGAAAGCCTGAATGAAAAGGTGTTTTGCTTTGCAGCTCAAGCACAGCGTGGTTGCCTTATGAGCCCCTCTGATTAAGGTTTCAACGTCTGTGTCCCTTCATTGATAACTCACTTCAAAGAGGCTTTATAGATGAACAAAGAGCTGATAGCACAGCTTCTTCTTACTGTAATATATTGACAAAACAAGGAGACAGTCTCTAAAGTCCTGTCTGCATCCTGAAGATAGTAGTTGGTATTACAACTGAAAAAAGAAGAAAGGAAACAAAGAGTATTACCTCTCATCCTTCTCCTTACGAGACATCTTCCTGTTGTCTGCCTCAGAAAGCTTGCGAGTAACTTCTTTGGAAACAGCATCTTCTCTTTTCTGTGCTACTCTGTTAGAGACACCATTTATGTTAAAGTTTAAAAAATGGAAAAAAAAAAAAAAAAAAAAAAGAATTTTACTAGGTCTGTCAGTTACCTGAACCAAATGGACTCCACCTGTACCTGACTCTAAACTTAGCAATCTCAAGAAAACAAGTTTTAAGAAAAGCATACCTCTTTCACCTTCTATAGAAAATAAAGAAGTTCTTCAGCTTACTATTTCAAATACTTCCACTCATTTGAAAAAAAAGAAAAAAGGAAATGCTGTTTTCGACAGCTTCTTTAATAGCTAAGTCATGCTTCAAGTAACCAGCGAAACTCACTTGTGCTTGAGAACAAACTTGACGTTCTTATACGCAAAAGCCACCAGGTAGGTGCTGATGAGGGTCATGACGCTGTACAGGACGGCAGACTGAACAAGATCCATGTGCCATATCCTCCAGTAAAGCCCTTAAAAAAGGAGGGGTTGGGGGGAAGGAAAAAATAAAGGCATTAAAGGGGTGAGGAGCGATTGGTCCCTTCAAGCCAGACGTCCGGGGAGTTATCAGCTCTGCACTGGGTGCTGCTGCCCCGACACGTGGCCCGGGTCCCCGGGGGCTCCTTTTGGGCCCTGGGGGCTGCTGCTGTCCCTGCCCCCCCCCCCCGCTTCTGCTGTGGGGCAAGGGGGGACCCCCCTCCCGCTGCCCCCACCGTCTGCCACCCCCCTCAGGGTCCTCCCCTCGGGGACTCCCCCTGCCCCCCCTTTAAGGGCCCTTTTAGGGGGTTCACCAGGGCCTCCCCCCCCGACCTCCTGCCCCCCCGACCGGTCACCACCCCGCAGGGACCCCCTCGCGTCCCCCCGGCTCTGTCACGCCTCCTCCGCTCCCCCAGGGCCAGTCGCCCCCCAAGGGGCCTGCCACCCCCCTGCCCCCCCCCGGGCCTGTTGTCGCCGGAGGGCCCCCCCGGCGCCGCTCACAGATGGGGATGGCGGAGACGATGAAGGCGTTGCCGAAGAAGAGCGCCGAGGACTTGGCCGAGAGGTTGCGGCTGAAGTCCTGGAGCAGCAGGTCCTCCTCGGACTGCTGCCGCGCGCCGGGGCCGCCCTTGGGCGCCATGGCGGGACACGGGGCGGCGGGACGCGACACGGGCGACACGAGCGACACGAGCGACACGACGGCACCGCGACGGGCGGGGCGGGGGGAGCGCTTCCGGGTCGCGGCTGGGAGACGTGGAGCGCGCGGGGCGGGGGGGCGGGGCGCGCCGGGAGGCGCCGCCCCCCGCGCGGCCGTTATGACCGTTATGACCGTTAGGGCCGTTGTGCGCTTTTTTTCTTCCCCGTTTCCTGCCCCCATGTGGCGCCGCGGGCGCGTGGCGGTCGCCGGCCGGGGACCGGGACCGGGGCCGCCGCCGCCTGCGGGTGCGAGCGGCGCCGGGTCGTGAGGAAAGTGAGTAAAAAACGGCATTTCCCAGGGAACCGCTGCCGCTGCTCACGGGCGCACGCTCTTTTACTTTATTACTGTTGGTTTTTATTTATTGATTGCATTCGGGTCTAGTTATTGTGCGGTTTAAGTGCGTTTCTTTATTATTTTAGCTTTCTGGGGTAAGTAAGCCGTGGTCTCCCCTCGGAGCTTGTGGAGCTGCAGAGCATCAACCCTGGTCATTCCTTTAATGACTCCTCTGTGGCTTAATGAAGATGATGTGCTGGTGGCTTGCAAAACTTTGGGCATCAGTTGCAGTCTCTTGGTTAAAATGTATAGAGATTGCTGAGGTAGCATCTTCAGGGATGTTTTCCAGGTGGTCTGGGATGCCCTGGGTGTGAGGGACCACAGTAGCCCTTGGCTGCTCAGACAGCCCCTTTTCCACCTTATTTTGGTTTTGGCTGTAACATTCCTGAATTTGCTTTTTTTAACTTGCAGCTTAATAAAGTTATAGCTTTAGAAATAAATAAATTAGCTCCTCTTGCTAAATTCCTCCAGTTGCTGAAATCCCTCATGTGCAAGAGAAGGTGGGAGGTACATCCTGGAAATGAAATTAAAGCCATGTAACCATGGTTTGCAGTTTGTTATGACTGAGGAGAAGCCTGTGAAGCATTTAAGTGCAGTCAGACTCTGCTGAGCAACCTGTTGATAAATATCCAGAGCACAAGTGAGGATGGATTTTTACGGCTCAATATAGTTTGCAGTAACATGCTGCCCTTGCAGACCGACACTGCTTACGTCGTGTTGCCTGCAGGCACTTGCCAACGCACGGGCAGTCGAGTAGAGTACGTAGGAGGGAGGGCATAGGAGCACAATGGTGGTTTTTCATTTTTTTGGGAACATATGGTCTATATGATTCATCATCAGCAAGTGATGGTGCTCCCTATGTGTGCATTTAAATGGCCTGTATAGCTTTCCTTTCTCTGGGTGTTAATTTTAGGCATTGACCTCAGCGGAAGCTTTTAACACTGTTCAGTATTCAGTCATGATGTCTCCTACACCTAATCAGATTATAACATTTTTCAAGCTGTATTTTCTCTTTCTGTGGTTTCTAAGTATTGCTGTGGTGGTCTATAAATGGAAGAACTTTATGAAAATTGTTAAGAACAGGAACTTAGGCTTTTAAATGAGATCTTTTTCCTTCTGCAAAAAGTATTGAGGTTGTCAGAGATGTTTTGATGAACTGGTATTTCACAGTCTTTAAATAACTAAAGAAGTGTATGTGTACTTTGCTGTGCTTCTTTTGGATGAATTTCTCTTGCATGGATCTTCTGTATACCTTTGAAATTTTCCATCTGATATCCCCCTTCCGTTTGAACTGCATCTTTGGGTTAACTAAACTGTTAGGCAAGGGCTGTCTGTCCGCTAGATGGTCTGCTAAAATGTGCATTGAGGATGGCTGCTCAAGCAAGAATGAATGCAATTGCTTGTTTTCTAAACACTTAGTGTGTAACATAGTTACAGTTTGTATACTTGGTCAGTGCTGCTAGTTTAAGACTTTTCTTATTAAACAAGACTCTTTGAGTTATAAGTCGTTGAAGACTACTGGAAAATGAAGTATAAGATAGGTCTTAAAAACAATCTGAAATCATTTGATGAGGGCTTTCAATTTCCCAGCATGATTTATTTTGTCTATTCTGTTGTTGCTGCTTGTCTGTGTGAAATGTGGACTCAAAGGCACGTTTCTGTGGGCTTGAAAAGCAGAATCTCTGGGACATGTAATTTGCAGTGACTAAGTCTGCTCTTTAGTGAAGCTTTGTTTGTTACCATCTGTGCTAATATGAATCTTCATGTTCCATGGTCTAGGAATGTTTGTTGTGTCTTAATGTAGGCATTTACTGGATTCTGATAGTGTGCATGTTTAGGTAGTGAAAGAAAATAGGTGTGGGAGGCAGAGCACTAGTCAGTCCATCATCTATTACTGTTGTTAATTGGTTAAATACTGTCCTTTCTTCCTTTAGGTATGAAATCTGAAGAGAAGTAGAATAAATGATGTTCTATTGTGCAGAAGGGAAAGTTTTGGGGAGACAGCACAGAGAGGGTGCAACCTCAGGTGGGTCAAGAACCAAAGAGCTATTTATTGTGATGACTCTTTCCATCACCTTAACAGCTCAAGGAAGCAGAACCCAAAGACCGAAGAGCTGCCATAGCCCTGCAGTTCTGGTAGCAAATAAGCATGCAGTTAGCATAAGCATAAACAGCATAAACACCTAGGTTAGAACTGATGTCTGGAGTGTGGGGAGGGAGCGTGGGTAAAAGGATTTGATCATTCTTGTAGTATGCACCAGAGATGATTTCATTGAAGAAAGCTGGCTATATGAGCACAATGTTGTGATTGCTCTTGAAATTTAAACTTCCTGAACAGCTTGCTTAAAATCAGATATGCCAGCATGGATCTGAGCAATAATCTTTGGGTCTGTAACTAATGTAAATAAAAGTAGATCAGATTGAGTTTTTATGACATATTATGCAGAATTACGAGGTGGAAGTAAGTCTGGGAGCTGAATCACGAGTGGAAAGATTGAGGAAGTAGAATGAATGAGCCTTTAATGCAGCTCAACGTAACAAGTTGTGCTTTCTGTAAAGAAGACAACCAACAGGCAGTAGGGTTGCCAAATTTGTAGTGTTCAGTTAGAGGTGAAGCACAGGCATAGGGCCTAGGCTTGTTGTAGGCTACGTAACAAAATCCCTTTGATTGCTGCCTGTGATCACACATACACACAGAGAATTCCAGGCAGTAGAGTTAAGTGCTGATAGTCACTCCTTGTCTCTTTAACAGCACGTAGGTTATGAGCAGATCGTACAGAATCCCCACACTAGGGATGTGTCGAGTGATCTGTCGTGGGCTTGTGCTGGCCCATTTCCACAATCTGAATACCTCTTGGTGGGAGGAAGTTGGCCAGATGGGATTTCTGAGTCTGAAATGTGTGTCATCCTGGCACCCACCCACATGTTACTGCTCCTTCCTTTAACAGTGTAGGAAGATCTCGGCGTGGTTGATATCACTTGCCACCTCTCTGGGTGTTTCCCGTTCTTTCAGCCCCTTGAGTCTTGAAAAAGCCTTTTGAATCTTGCCACAGGAAAATGCAAGCAGATGATGTGTAGTTAGAAGAGCTGGCCACCTGTATGTTGATAGCCCTTAAAATGCTAGTATCAAGCAAGAAAGATGAGCTAGAAGAATCTGAAGAATATTTGAATGAAGAAGGGAATACTTGTGACTGTTTTCTTTTTTTGAATGGTTATTTGTAGTCATATATAGTACAGATAAAGTATATAGTTTTTACTAGTCTTGCAACTGTCAAACATGAACTGAATTATAGGAAATGTCACAAAAAGAGGTCTCATCAACAGAGCTGATAGAGAAAGACAATATCCTGCATCCTTCAGAGATGCTGAATTCAGTAATGCTCAAGTTTGTCAGTTACAGAAAATGAAGCATTTACAGTTTGTTCCCACACAATAGATTCTTCCCTCAAGAAATGTCTTTCAAATGCACATGCTCATTCTAGAATGTGCAGCACAGCATCTCCTATTCATAGTAACATTGTCTCTTTCAGACAAAGATCATCTGCTGAATATGGCAATCCTTTTGCTTTTTCTTCGGTATTTTATCTCACACTGTGCTTTAATTTATGTGCTGTGCAACTTGTCGACTGTATCCAGCTGCTCACAATATCCATGATGATGAGGCTTCAGGGCCCCAAACTGGGACAGTCTATAACTTGCAGTCCTGAGGAAAGATGTGCAGGATTTCAAAGCAGTGTGAACACCTCTTCTAATTGGTGACTAAGAAAAAAAGAGAACCTCATGCCTTCTTCCTTCTGAATGTTTTTGTATTGCTTAGAGTTAGAACTTTATCATGCTGCTACAGCGGATGAAACTACAGCCGGCACACTGGATACATTTGGTATGCTTGAGAATAATTACAAATTGATTACTACAGTTTTCAGAAGGCACAGTTAAGTTTGTGGATTTGAATATTAACAATATATCCTGAGCCCAGATTTCTGTGTTCATCGTGTACTGACTCTTAATAGAAAAAAATGTTTTTGCTCAATATGGCAGTGAATCTCTCTTGCTCATTTAATTCATTTCTAGTTGAAGATTTGGATGCTGCTGTCTTCCTCTCTGCCCTTGGAATCCTGCAGAGTTTGTAGGGGGAGAAGGAGTCAGATTTTTTTTTTTTTTTAAACTAACTCACTGTCTTACAGGCTTGATCCTTTTAAAGAGATGTGTGCAGATGGATCTTTGTGCTCCTTCGCCCCTTCCACTTCTCAAGGGTGCTGTACGGCTCCCATTAGTCATTAGAACATGGATTTTGCAGAGCTCCTGTGAAGGTTTGCCCTAGTGATTTGGCATTAGCTGTTTTCCTTGGATGTGAAATACTATAAGGCTGTTGCCTTCCATGTATCCCTGTAGAATGTTTTGGCACTTGTGATAGAAGAATGGCCATTGTTTGCCTGTAGATGGTCACCTACTTACATATTTTAGGTGGAACCAGATCTGTTAATTTTAGACCTGTTTTAGTGTTATTTGGCCAACAACAAAACATAGAGAAATTTTCCTACTCTGTTTAAGTAGGAGTCAGTTAAAGGGGATGAAAAAAAGCACTGCCACTCACATGTTAGTTCTTGCCTTGTGGCAGGACCCATCTGATCCAGAGTCACAAAAAAT